CCTCACTAGCTCTTGGTGTCTGGGATTTGCCTCCCACCTTGGCTTGGTAGTCTGGTTCCAGCAGCCTCCGCACTGAGTCTGAGCTTAATTTCCTCAGTGTAGATGAAGGGTCATTTCTGACGAGCTTCCTCATTCTTGATAAACTCCCCATTTCTAATCCATGGGCTAGTTTTCTGCATGACTCCACCCGTGAGCAGGTGGCTGTTCATAATATAAGGCCGGATCCTCAGTTGGTGTAAATGGGGGTGTGGACTCCTTTGGACCGATGCCGATTTGCACCAGTTGGGGATCTGGGAATATCTGTAGTTCTGCACTGGTAACTTGTGTTTGTGAATCTAACCCTTAAGGGCACTGCTCAGAACAGCTTTGCCGATGCTCATTCAGGCAGGGACAGCTGAGTTTACGCTCGTCTTCAGGAAGGCACTCGAATGAGGAAGCTTTGGAGAATGAAGTCTTCATTGGCTGGACAACATAATGGGGCCCCAGTTCATGACTCCAGCACACATCCCATCATAGACTCTGCGGGCCAATAGCAAACAGGAGAACAAAGAAATTTTTTAGCCACAGGGAACGTGTTGTTCTAATGGAGACAGAGGAGGAAATAAGGCAGGTGAACCATACCCCACTGCTCACCACAATCCAGACAGGACAGAGCGAACCACCAGGAAACACCTGACAAAGGGGAATTCACTGAGCAGAAACTGACTTTATATGGGTAAAACCCACATGTGTGTGCAGTGTTTTTTCTCAGTGGAAGGTTGATCTATTTGGAGGAAGCATGTTTGTGACGCTGATTGGACCAGAGCTGTTCCTCTAGGAGGGGGCCACAAGAAAAAGGGATGTGGTAAGACCCACACATGAGAGTGATCATAGGAGGAGGAGCTTGAATATATTTCTTTTCCTCTATTTACCTTGAGCTTATGGACACCTGGATAGGAGGACTAGAGAGCCCCAAGTCCTGAGGAGTCACTCTGTTGAAGACTTGGCCGTATGCCACCATCGACAAGGACCATCTGTCAGGAATCAGGGACTGCAGCAGAACCAATCTCCAGGCAACCTGTTTTTGCCTGCTAGATCCTGCTCTGACCAGTAGACCCAACACCCACGTCCCACTCTCTAACAACATCAAGCATGGATAGTCATTAGTTGCCTCTTTCATCTTCTTCCTGTGTTAACCCTGTTACTATGGCAACACCTGGAACAGGACTGATGTTCTGTCTGCGTCTCCAAGACAACAGCTGCAGACGAGCTATAATCACAGCTGAGACTTGGACAGCACCATCTCACGCATAGGGAGCCGCACTGTGAGCTGGATGAAGATCTGTTCTTCTGTTTGGTTTTTGTTAAGAAGAGCTACTGCTCAGAAAGTGACTTAGGCATTATAGCCGCACCACCTTAGATGACTACTTACAGCAAGACTCATGAACAACCCCAGGCCACTGACATCTCTGGCCATTATGTTAGCAACCAACCACTCAGTATGGGCACCTCTTAAATTTTACTGAATGCAGGATTAAAAAAGTTAGTTGTGACCAGATACTTCACACCAGTTAATTTTAACGAGAAGGAAGGAACACTGCCCAGAATATGGAAATAACAGAAAAGTTAACAGATGAAGAATATTTAGCTAAGTTAGATCTCAGCAACTCGTCAGGGCCTGATGAAATTCACCCTAGAGTATGTAAGAAACTAGCTGAAGCAATCTCTGAAGCATTAACAATTATCTTCCAGAACTCAAGGAGGATGGATGAGGTTCGTAACAAGGGCAAACTTCAAAAAAGGTAAAAAGGAGCTCTTAGGGAAGTATAGACCACACAGCCTAACTTCAATACCCAGAAAGATACTGGAACAAATGATTAAACTACCAATTTATTAAAACCTAGAGGATAATAGGTGATAAGGAATAACCAACATGGATTTGTCAAAAACAAGTCATGAGAAACAAACATAATTTCCTTCTTTGATTGGGTACCCAGTCTAGTCTAGTGGATGTGGGGAAGAGGTGGAAGTGACGTATCTTGAATTTAGTGAGTTTTTTGACAGAGTCCCACATGACATTTTCCTACTCAAACTAAGGAACTATGGAGTAGATGAAACTACCACAAGGAGGATGCAGATAGGTGGAAGTTCTTACTCACAGAGGTGGGATGGGGACTCACTGTTTTGGCAGCAGCACTGTAGAAAAGGGTGTGAGGTTTCTGATGGACCACAAATGGAATGTGAGTCTGCAGTGTGATGCTCTTGAAAAAAGGAAAATGTCATTCTGGGATATATTAACAGGAGTGGGGTGGGTCAGAGATGGGAGGTGACTGTTCTCCTCTACTCAGAGCGGGAGAGCCGTGTCCAGGTTCGGGTGCTGCACTTCAAGAAGGATGAAGACAAATTTTACAGGGTCCAGAGGTGACCAACAGAAAAGATCAGAGGTTTAGAAAACATGACCTGTGAGGAAAGGTTGAAAGAACTGGGCATGTTTTGTCCAGACAAGAGATGGCTGAGAGGGGACATAACAATCTGCAAATATGCAAAAGGTTGTTATAAAGAGGACTGTGATTAATTGGTGATCATGTCCACAAGGGTAGGACAATATGGAATGGGCTTAGTTAGCAGGAAGGGAGATTTAGGTTAGATATTTATAAAAACTTTCTAACTCTAAGGATGGTTCAGCACAGGAACAGGTGACCTAGGGAGGCTGTGGAATCGCTGTTATTGGGAGTTTTAAGGACAGGTTGGAAAAACACCTGCCAGGGATAGTCTAGGTGCACTTGGTCCTGCTTCAATGCACGGGGATGGATTGTTTGACCTTCTGAGGTCCCTTCAACTCCACATTTCTGCGATTCTGTGAAGTGATGCTAGGCCCTCTGCCCTGTGGTCAGTTTCCCCCATAGGTACTCAGCAAAGTAAATGCTTATGGGTGTGGGAGAAGTGGTAGGGCAGAAGGAAGGAGAGCAGGGCATGCTGAGAAGACGGTGCTTTCCTGTGTGTAGTGCTGTTGGTTGATACAATATAATGCAAGAGGACATGAGTCGACTCCACTTCCTGTCTAATTTCTCCAAGATAAGGAGGCTGCAAAGCTCAGAATCCTCAGAACTCGACCTGCCCTGATAGCATCTGAGCCACCATGGGAACCCGAGGAGACGTGTATGCATTGGGTGAGTGGAACAAAGTCCATGCGCTGAACTCAGGTAGGGTAAGGAGAGTTTGCACTGGGGCTGGAAGGTGAATGTTTCAGCTCGAGAAGATATAATCATGCTAGCTCTCATCTAGCTAGAAACAGAAGTGTTGCCATGGGGGAAGAGGGGTTGGCCACCCTGAGTGCATACCTGTGCTCTTGGACGGGATCATAGTCGGGGCAGGGAGCCTCTCCTGTTACTTGCCCAAATGCAGCCACGCTTCTACTTTTAGCATGCCAGCTGGGTCAGAGCAAGCCTGGGTATGTCTCTTTGAGCTAGAATTTACACCTAGGCCTACGCTACATTGGTGTCACGTGCAATTTCCTCTGCTGCCGCCAATGCTCACGTTGCACCAGCTGAGACTCCCTCCAGACTCACTGAAACGCCCTTAGATTTACTGGGCCAGATTCCCGGGGCTGGCTGTGATGGGCTCATCTGAGATGAGCTCACTAGGAGACCAGAGCATGGAGGGGTCCCAGCTGGCTTTCCACCACTTTCACAGCTACTGAATCCCAGGGGATAACTGCGGATCAGTCTGGTCCCTGGAAGCAGAGCAGCCCAAATCCTTCCCTGATTCATCCTCAACTGTCCGTAGCCCCAAGGGACCATTCCAGCAGCTGGCAATAGCCAGAGTGGAGGAGTACATTGGCCACACCGCTCACCTCTGGGAATGCCCACTGTGCCTGGGGCTGTAACATAGAGCCAGTGT